AGGCAGCTGTGATGGAGGAAGAAAACCAGCAACCGGACTTCCATAAATGGTCTACAGCACTTGGGTAACACTCTCCCAAGAAAAACCTTGTCCACTGCAGCAGGTAGGAACAGGCACAAACCCCGGAGAAGTCAAAACCAGGAACCTGACTTTTCAGTCTCTTTCCACCTAACAGAATTAACAAAACATGAGGATTCTGCAAATCACACTATTCAGTGAAGCCAGACTGCTCTAGACAGTTCACTTACCTATCCCCAACTTCTCATCTTACATGAGACGCCCTGGCAGGACACCTTTGATTCTTAGAGGCTCAGTAGCAGCCTGGAGACTACAGGATAAACCTTAAGAGCTAAACAGTTAGTTAGTAGTTTCAATAGCTACCAGAATCTCAGTTTTAAATATTAGTTAAAAAAAAAAAAGCCAAACAAAAAAACCACACAACACCTCTCCCTCCCCTCGCCCCCACCTGAAATTAAGAGAGACTTCTATTCTAATAATTTCCTTAGAAAGTTTATTTTAAACACCTTCTCTTTTGTACCTGGCCTACTTTGATCAGGTTTTATAAACAAAATAATCCACTTAAGCTGCTTTGTGGACATTGAGCTGTTTTTGCTGATTACATTACTGAGCCTCCACTCTTGCAACTTAGGTCACTAGCTCGCATGACTATAAAATTACAACTGCCAATGGCTAACTTTAGCTCAATTGTGCAATGCTGTGTTTTGACCTTATGCAAATCTAGGGAAAAAACCTCCTTTAAAATACAGTAAATTTTAATGAACTTCAAGAGACTTTTACACCCATTTGCATTATTCTTCAAATTTCTTTAATATGTTTTCAGTCTAAACACAGAAACCCCACAATCATTTTCCTCCTTAAAACTTCTTACTTTGCCACCTACCAAGCAGTCACCAGCTCCTTGGCAAAGTCTTCCATAACATTGGAAAGCCTTCTCTCTTTATGTATATCAAAACAAAGATAAGAACATGCAGACTTTTTGTTTGTTTGTTATACATCACATTAGCTTACAGTGGAGCTGTTTCTGTGGGAAAGCTACATGAGGTCTCCCGAAGAGAAAATAAACAAATAGTGAGATGATACACTGCACCAGCTGTAACCTCCTCACAGCTACCCCAGCCGTTGTGACTCCAGCAAGAACTTTACTGGATATGTGACAATTCTCCTCTTTCAAATTTCCCAGCTTCAACTCATCAGTATCAGCAATTTCAAAGATTTTGATGAGTTCACCATTCCCATGATCCACATGGAAACCTGCGGAGCCTAGCCACTGAGGGCACGGGCAATCGAGTTCCCATAAATGACAGCCTCACCTACATACATCTCCCATCCAAGATTACAACTGTCAGAAATTCATTTCTGAGCACAGAAGCGTTGCAACTCCTGCCATCGAGGTGAGATTATGACAATATTGCAGTGGCATCCTCAAAATGGAACTGGAGCTTCCAGATACGAAAGCACAGTGATCACTGTGAAGCTAAAATGACTGAACAAAGCCAGGAACAGACTGAGGAATCTGCAGCTACAAACTCCCAAAAGCTGACAAAGACCCATCCAAAACAATCCCCATCAGGAGCTGTGCAATGACATGACGAATACATGACAAACTGTCTCAGCCACGGCTTTGCTTTGGACTGTCAGATGTTTCAGTGCATCAACACAGTGGTATTTTTCCCCTCTTATTCTTCCCTGTATTTTTCCTTTTTTTTTTTTTGTCTACCATTTTTCTGATGGTCCAAGAAATACAGTGAACAGAAATACAATCCAATTCGTACCCGTTAGAAGTAAAATGCAATTCCAAATCTGAAAATTCTGTCCCTAAAATATTTACCATCACACAATTGTACAAGCATTAAGTTAGTATTTATTTCCCTCCATTTTTATTTTACTGAAAAGGTAGTTCATCACAAAACAATCTATTACTGTTAGGTGAAAAGTACTGATTTTAAATTTTCCAGCATTCAAAATCCAACACACTTCTTACTAAAAGCAGCATTATATTTCACAATTTTTCCACATTCTATTATTCCTCAGCTTGCATTTTTGAAGTGAACAAGTTTCCAGAATTAACTGGTAAAAGCCACAGCACTGGAGCATTTAAAAACAAAATGCTGGAACACACACAGAGTCTAACAAATTTTAGATGTAGTTTCATATTGTGTTTACAAATGCTATGACATGCTATCTACATGCTTGAATGCATGATTAAGTTACCCTGGGCACTAAACTTAGCTACTAGGTCATGCACAAGCTTCGTTCATTTGCATGCTCTCAGCTTGCAGTGAATGGGAGGCAGTTTGAGTTAATATATCCTGCAATGTAATTTTTTTTTTTAGCACACTAAAAGCCTTGTATACAGGCAGTTGATGCCCAAGAGCTAATTACTCCATGATAACTCATGGCTGTGACACCAAGGTGTCTTAACACAAGCCCTATAACAAGTCACACACATGAACAACAACAAAAAAAAAGTAAGAATGAAAAAAGTGAAAAAAATGCTCTCCAAACAGAAGAAAACGGAAAAGTTATGAAGAAATTAAGTCTTCACCTATTTTTGGGTGACATGATCTGTTAATCAAACTGTAATTTTTCAGCATACAAAGTATGTATTGGACGAGGCATTCAGGTGTATTTGTGTGCATTCAGAAAGTGCAAAGAAAACTTTCCAATTAGTAGCAACTTTCTAAAAAGTCATAAATACAGCTATCCTTAGAGATAAAAAGGTACGCTTGGTTGCGTTTTGCTATTCAGAACAACAAGTTTGGGCTCTAGCACATCAGGAAGATGCATTTGCAGCAAATATTTATAATTCCTAGACATTGTGAAACATTTAAACCCGATTGTGGAATTACAGGCACAAATGTCACTGGCTGCATCATGGACAGAGGTTGGAGATTTTGCAGCTTGTAGAATACATGCACACACTTTTCACTCCCTTCACATATGAACAGTTCACATCATACATAATAAATATTTCCATCAGACCAAATACCCTGAATTGTAAGTGTATATCTTAAATGTTTTCTCTGAAGCACTGAAAACTTATTCTGAAGACCTATACTGCGTAATTCTAAAAGAATTTCTAAATGTCTTTGGTTATTGTGAACAAACATAACAATCCAAGTGGCAGGTTTTGGTTGACCTTGCCTGGGCAAGGAGAGGATGAAGAAGGCCAACTGAGGATATTACTTCACTCCTCAATTTCCACGCTTGAGTGATATTCAGTTTTCATTGTACTGAACGTTTCCTCACCAGATGCAGTTCCCCACTTTTTGTAAAATCATTGTCTCCTACAGTTATTTCAGCAAATAAGAACAGCTGAGAACACATAAACACAAGTTATATACATATTTTATGTGTACAATATTTCAAAGTCAAACCCTGAACTCTCTCAGAAGAGAACATGTCCACTACTGTAGCCACCTTGCCCAGGCACTCCTCGTGCAGCAGATGTGGCTTCGTACTCACTCCAGGAGATCCAATGACTTCAGAGAAGTTACAAATAGCAACATATTGCATAATCACGTTGTGTAGGTACCAAACTCAGCCATTTGTTTGTGAAACAGTTCACTCTCTATACATGTTATATAAACTTAAGAAGATACAATTTTCTATTTGTTGCCAGCTTTTCATCCTGCTAGTCAAAACTTCCCCATTTCTTCCACGCGTATGTATACTTCTGTCTGTGCCAACAAAAGAGGATTCAGACAATAGCTTGAGATACCTTCCCTGAAGAAGGCTGGGAGGCAAAGCGGTGCAAAGAAACGTAAGCACTGATGCGTACAATCCGACACAACTAAAATCCACCTGAATGGGGCTTTGCATCATGCTATCTTCCACCTCCAGACATCTTCAAATAACCTCTGCTTCTGTGAGACTCTGCTGCTAGAGAAGCCTGGCACAGCCTGCAGCATGGCGCCCAACTGATGCAGTGACAGCATGAGCCTGAAAGTACACAGTAGCAACTTTCTTCAAACTCAGCCAAATGCTGAATCTGCTTTTCTTTCTCCAAAGCAGCAAAATACAAAATAAAACTCTACCAAAGGAAACCAAGCTCAACCAGCTATTATTTCCTTCTCTTGAACAACTGCTCCAACGTCCTCCAGGAACACCTTTATACATTGCAGTTCTACCACATAGCTTTGAAGACAGCTTCGTAACTTGCCTGCCACAGCTCTGTAACATCAAGTCTCTCAGCCTACAACGGCTCCATCTCAGATAGTGCCAGAAATCCAGGTTGTCCCCACAGGAATATAGCAAAGCAAACAGTTTGTGAAACACTACCCCAGCTGAGGAATGGGTAGATCCAGGCAGTTAAGAACAGCTTTCTCCTTCTGGATCAGCCTAAAGCTGTATTTTAAACCTGATTGGTTTTACTTACAAGGAAGCAACCATACAGATTAATTCAGAACATAAAAACACATTGTAATTGAAATATTAATGAAAACCTTCACGTGTTTGTTCACAATTAGAAGTTTCCACTTAGCAAACCAGGTGAACGAAAAAATGTGTCACTGAATGCAGAAAAAACCCACAGCTCTTCAGAAGAGAAGCGCATAATTTCTGCTGAGCATAGCATTTGCTATAATTGTGGGAACAGCGAGCAGGATAAGCCTGCCTGGAGACATGTCTACATTTCAGAGAAAAAAAATGGCTTTTTAAACTTTGTAATCTGTTCTTCAATAAAAAAAGTATTTATTGTTAATATCAACCGATTAGCATGTAGCTTCTGTTAAAGTTTGTTTAAACAGCCACAATACATGCAGACTTAAATATTTCAAGTTAAACATTTAAAATTCTGATAAAACAGTAAGAAAAACTCCACAGACCAACAGATAATATTTAAGAAGCTTAGAACAAACTACCTTTTATAAAATATACTTTACTTCAGTAATAACAGTTTGGAAGAAAAGTTGTGTTACTTCAAAAAATTTCAAAAACTCCTGGCTTTCAGAAGAGAGCAACATACAGCCGAAAACATTCAGGATTCTTATTTGTGCAGTGTATTATAAAGATGTAAGCTGCATGTTTATATTAATGTGAGTGAGGGGACATAAATGACATTACTGCGCATTCTTACCCAGCAACTAGAACATATTTTCCATCTGGTTGATCCTTTAACCTTTCCAGCAGGGACAAACGTACTTTGGCTTTGGTTTGGCCATAGATCTCAATTTCATCTGTAAGCAATCCTATCTCCTTGGCAAGTACATCAACAGCTTTTGGACTCTGTGCTCGGGAAATCTCAATATCACTGGAAAAGAAAACAAATAGGAGCCAGGAGATTTCTCTCAGCTTAGGTGGTCAATGACAGAGCACAAAACAACAGCAAATACTCCAACAATGGGGTTACTGTAATCAGTTTTTCAATCCTCTCTCACATTTTATTAACCAAATCTAAATGCTAGCTAACACCTAATATAACATTGAAAATCACATGCAGTGTTTGTTAATTGTTACAATTTCACAGAGTTCTCTCGTTTAATCAGATTCCAAATATTACGTAATGCTTTCATATCAAGCTAGAGACGTGTCTGCTGAATGCTCAAACATGTCCCACTGGAATGGATGTTTCTGTTTTTGTTTTTCTTCTCCTCCCTCCCAGTATATTTCAGCACATACACTTTACTAAAAAGCGCATACATTCCTTGGCCAACAGTCACATTATCTAAACCTGATGCTTGTGCACGTAGCGCCTTTCATCAGAGGGTACTGCCAAGCAAGCAAAGCCTCGCTACTCCCCCATGAGGGCACCAAAGGAAACAAGGCATTTGAAGATCAACTCATGCACTTCTAAAACACAGCTAAATTGAAAATGGCCACATAGCAGGAGTTTAATGCACAGGGCTCAGGACAGAAGTCCAGTGAGCTTATAAACTCACTATTGTATCTGCAATTCCTGACCTAGACCACCTGGGGTCTTTGGATTTAATACTCCTCCATGGATTTTTCATTTGTGAGCTTGACTTAGTTGCCCCTTATGTCTACGTAAGCGTTTAGCAGCTGCAAGCTCCCGCGGCAGCAAAGCCCAGAGCCCAGCACACAAGATATGAGGGGTTGTCTCCTTTGGCTTTAAATTGCTCACATCACCACAAAAGCAAGTTAAAAAATTACCAAGAGATTAATTACTTTCAGCCTAACCAGGCTAAATTCCTTCCTGCAGTTTCAGTTGATTACAATATTTTTAAGATAGAATCTGGCAATGGCATCAAAGCTAATGTCCTGAACTTTCAAACAGTCTGCAAGACCTCAAATATCCACAGATGAACAGAGAACTACTGCCAGATCTCAACTCTACGTGTGGACTTCGGCTGTTCTGCATCCATCAGCAAATGATCAGTTTGTGCCAACTTAATTGCTTGCAACTCTTTGAGGATATCCTAAACTGGCACCATTATTCAATTCTAATTCTCAAGTATCCCACTTTTGCACCCTGCAGCAGCTAAGTGAAACCCAGAAATCATCCATCCAAACAATGACATAATCCAGTACTAGAAGACAAGAAGCTACTCTGTCACAGCACCCAATGGCTGGGTTGCAGACCATTTCATTGCATATACTAACCTGGAATCTGCTTTCTTTCAAAGACATACTAAGCGCATCCTCTTGCATAGAAGGATATACCTTTGGCTTTCTTACACATTACTTCAAACACAACTAGCCATAAAAATGTATCAAGAACACAAGATAGAGTGGCTTACAAACATCACATCACAAAGAATATTCAAAGTTTTCATTCAGAACTCTCCATATAAAAACAACTTGAGTGCCAGAAAACATACTGGTAAGTTGATGACAGTGCGGTCCCTTAAAGAGGGAGCAAAATTTGTAGGGTGACTTTTCTCCTATTAAAAAAAATTGATGTATTTGGCAAGGGGAGAAGGATGTAGACTAATATGACAGAAAGTTAATCTGCCTTTTTTTTTTCTCCTGCTAGATATATCAGCCTCTTTACTAAAAGAAGAAGCTATTATTTCAAATCTCAGGCCAGACTATCGAGACTCCCTGCAGCAATCTCAACCCTTCCTATTTCTCTCATTTCTTGGGCCACAAACGCCTCCCCCTCAGAGTTCTGGAAGAAACAATGAGGCTTTTCCCACCCTGCTGGTACCACTACTTGCAAAAAGTGGAAGAACCAAAACTAACCAAGCTATACACTTATAAATAAATTAAAAGGTAAAGAATTTCTAGATAAATAAAATTACAAATATTTTTAGAAGTCAAGTAAAACTGACAGTGGATGCTAACGGTTCTCCATTGGTAAAACCATTGCTGTCATCATTTTCCCATCTGAAATTCCCTCAAGAACCTTCAAGGCAACTAGACTTTTAACCACTTAGAAACCCTTTAATGACAGATTGCACACTGACACAGGCAATAAAGTGATAAAAGGCATAATTTCACAACGAATTGACATTTATACCTCAACTACTACTGGGGCTAAACAACACATATGAAATGTTTACGTCTAGTCTATTATTTCTGGTAAAAGTATTTTCTAAAACACAGGAAATTAAAGATTTTGATTATAACTAGCATTTAGAAGTCTACATTTGTGGCTAGCTCTTTTAGTTTGATACTTTTAGTTTAATATTCTCTATATTGGAAATACCAGAATTATTCAATAAGTTACGTTATTCGATATTGCTGGAAATGTGCAACAGTGGTTCTTCTGCATGAATAAGAATTGTTAAGCAAGAAGTCCACCATTGACAATGGTAAGTCATAATTTACAAAATACAGGAAAATGTAAAAGGTGGGGGAAGGCTCTACATCTACTCAGCCTGTGTGCTGGAATTTTTTTTTACTGCATATTTGTAAGAAAATCTTCCATTCCGTTTCCAGTATCTTTGGAAATACTTCAATTAACACCCAGATCTCACAGAAATCAAAAAGCAGATGTTCCTAGATTTAGTGCTTAAGCAGCTTCGCCTCATATTCAATGAAAACTCCATCTGTTTCCACACCACGTGGTGTATTACTGTAAGATTACATTTTATTGCAGGATACTTTCCATCTGATGAGTTATTTTACATTTAAAAGAAAAAAGACATAAAGCTATAGAGTTATCAAATAAATGGAAGTCCTATCACTGGTTATATTATAAGCCATTATATATTAATTATGTAAATATTTATGTACTAAACACACAATGTCATAGAATGGGTTGGGAATATTTTTTTGAGAGTTTTTTCACCATCACACTCTTGTCATCACACGCTTTAATCTACCTTTTAACTGTAATATTTAAGGATAGATTTTTCAGGCTTTAATTCTAGAAATGTTACATGCTGGCCCAGGAAAAGCTCAAGCATTCCTTCCCCCTTGCACCCCCGGGTGCAATAGAAAACTCATTCTTTTGGCATCTCTGTTTTAAATTAAAATTGTGTCCACTTCCATTAAACTGTCGTAAGAGACGGTGAAAACTGAATCAAAATGCTTAGAAAAGAAAACATTTTGTCAGAGCTTTCCAAAAACACAGCAGTGGGATTCAGAATTACAGAATCACAGAGTGGAAGTGACCTCTGGAGGCCATCCGGTCCAACCCCCCTGCTCACACAGGGCCACCTAGAGCCAGTTAGTTGCCCAGGACCATGTCCAGGTGGCTTCTGAATATCTCCAAGGATGGAGACTCCACAACCTCCCTGGGCAACCTGTGCCAGCGCTTGGTCACCCTCACAGTAAAAAAGTGTTTCCTGATGTTCAGCTGGACCTTCCTGTGTTTCAGCTTGTGCCCACTGCCTCTGGTCCTGTGACTGGGCACCACTGAAAAGAGCCTCTTTGTACCTTGTATTTATATACATTGTATTTATACACACTGATAAGATCCCCCTGTGCCTTCTCTTCTCCAGGCTGAGCAGTCCCAGCTCTCTCTGCTTTTCCTCCTACCTGAGGTGCTCCAGTCCCTTTATCATCTGCATGGCCCAGAAGCATGCATACAAATAAGCACGCAAAAATTTCCAAGCTTTCCTACATGGCAGAACCTCACTTCAAGTCGCTGGTTCCTCTCTCCGTGACCCAATGCAACCAACACACAGCAAAGCACTTCAGCACACCAAAGGGCTCAGGATGCTCTAAACGTCAGAGATGTCAGCAACCGTGCCAAGGCAGACCTAAAATCCCTGCGGGCTGGACATGAGCCTTGGGAGGTGAACGACAGAGACTGATTGAAAAGATTCTGGCTGTGAGAATAAATACGCTTCCTGCTTTTCACATCTACACAGGAATTTAAAAGTCTAACGCAGAAGAAAGTACTTCTACTGAGGGAAGAAAATAAATACAAGATCAAATGCCACTGAAATCACTGGGCCTTAACTAGATCCATAAACACCTTCCTACACTAGGGTTTAGTGATTAGGAACTTCTTATATTTTGTATTTCTGTTAACATGCCACAAGGCTTCACCTCCCTCCCTCAATGAAACCTTCCAGCTTTAGGTCTTCATTAAATAACGCTTGGCAATGCACATCATAAAAGTAAAAATTGATAGGAAACAGAAGGACATGATCACAATGAGGCATACAATAAAAAGGCACAACATGTAGTCCACATAAGCAGATTAAAAAATAATTAGGCTCGGACCATTTTCAAGTTCATTTCACATTTAACACTTGCCTACTCTTTCTTTTTAATTTAAAAAACCCACTTATTACCTGGGCACTGGGGAGAGGGGCTGCAGTTTCAAGCAGCGGAGGTCCCACTTCCTGTGCTGCTGGGACTGGACCCATCGCTCCGTGTTTTTTACCATGTTCTGTTTTTAAACAAGAAAACAGCACACACCAGCTGCATCATAAATACTGAACACTAATTTCAAATCATCTCACGAGAATGTTGAAATAGCTTTTATGGCAAAGGCTAACAAAAAACAAACTTAAAAGTCTTTCCATTTCATGGTTTTAGGATGAAAGAAAAAACAACCACTGCACTATTACTGTCCTATTGTTTGTCCACATTTCAGAAAGAGACAAGACCATTAACACATAAGTGGCAGAGAAAAGTTGCTAATTGGGCACTTGGAGATTTTATTCTGGTAAAATGGAAAATTACTTTTATTCTCTCACACTTTAAAAATAACGGAAGATATTAATTGTACACTGACTTATGCTGCTTCCACATAAAACAACAAGCTTTTGGACCCTCTATCCATCACACCACAAAAAAACATGCGCAAATATAATTAGGCTTCACTGTTTTACCAGAATAAGTAACATTATCTACTGATACAAGTGCTTCTGCCAAGTTTTACTGTAATAATCAGAATCATGACATGTTTGATTTTTAATTTACCTTTCTCTAACTAAATGTAACAGGCATGACACCCTAACTAACTGATTAAGAGTTGTTATTCAAATGGAAGGCAGGTAAGATGTTCAAAAGAGCAAAACAAAAATTAAAATCTAAACTGTAGAAGCAATTTCTACAACTTACAGAAAGAGCAACAAATTTACAATGTTTGAAGTAACACTAACCTGCATTCGCATTGCTATTGCAAGAGAACCAACAGCGTTTTCAGCAGCATGGTGGTTTTGCTGATCATAGTTGTGTTTCGCTGTAAAACAGAAGTATTGCACTAGTAAATCACAAAGTTTTTGTGAGTGGGAGCATGCATATTGGAAAGCTATGTCCAAACAAAAAACTTCTGAATGTTGACTTGAAATTTAACAATGTCACTGACAAAATTATAGGTGGCTTCTTTAATACTTCAAATGAAATCACCCTGGAGGATGGATATAGTGTGAAAATCTGAGAGCAACTGCATGCTCTGAAGCATATTACGCAAACACACACATGCATATGATGAAGCATACACATACTTTGAAAAGAAAATAAGGAAACACAGAGATTAATTCCAGGATCCAAATAATTGCTTTTGGACAAAAAAAAAAAAAAAAAAAAAGGCCAGGCAGCTGTGAGGATTTGAAAAGCTATATGTATTTTTAAAAAGAACACCTAAATGAGCACAGTGAAGAATTTCCTTTTTTCCCACACATCCATTACAGCGAGAGAGAACAATGAAATGATCACAAAATACTATATAGAATTATTATCCAATAGGATTTATAACTCAAAATCAGAATATGCAAAATTTTTTGAGCAGCAAAAGTTATCTTCATCAATGTGACATTAGAAGTAGATATTCTGAAGAGTCTACACAATTCAGAGTGACTCCAACTTTAGAGACAGTTATAATTGTTTCTACTGGCAATATATCATATAATAATCATACATTAGCTACCGTAACTAAACATTATTTTCTCATTTTCCTGTAATCCTTCTGTTGGCTTGTTCTTCTGTTGTTGCTTATTGACTTTTATCTAGACACAATTTCTCCAAAATTCACATCCTGGTCTCTCTGGGCATATCAAGGCCCTAGTCCCATTCTGAAGGGCGTAGACATAACTGTCATAAAAAAATAACAACTGTACGCTGACAGCTTTAACCTTTCTCCTAAGGGGAACTGAAGTGCAAACCCTGACCTGGTCAAGCTCTCACTCTACTCATCCCATCTGCACCGATCATAAAACGCTCACGTTGCCTTGCACAACTACCCTTCCCGTCATGGGTCCCGGCGGTGGCAGGGCACAGAAACCTCAGGCTGGAGCCGGAGTGGCAGGCAGAGGCGTGCAGAGGAGCCAGCACAGCACCCCACCACCCCATGCTCAGCTCCAGCCCACTCCCTCACACCCACCACCGAGAGAGAGCAAGAAACGCTTTCCGCAGACACCCTCAGCCTCATTCAGCATGTTTTCTAATCCTTTCTCAAACTTTATTGCCAGCAGGCATCTATACATCAGTGACAAAGCTAACCAAGCAGAAGGTGACGGTCCTGACACTGAACTCTAATTAAGAAAGTGTCTGAGAAGTCCTGCTACGTGCATTAACATTTGCAATTTAAAAAAAAAAAAAAAAAAAATCTTCTGGAGATGCTCAGTTTTAGACTCAGACAGAGGAGTTTTACTGGAACAGTCTATCACAGTCATAAGTTGACTGTTGTTGCTTTGAGACCAGGCTGGGAGAGCTGCCAAAGAGACAAATGAAGTAGGAAGAATGAAGTTTAAAATCCCCTTTCAGACAGCTGTGCTTTACAGAAACATTTTGACTTTTAACGTTATTTGGCTTAATGTGACTTCTTTATCAGGGCAGAGCTAGCATGTGTGTAAATACACATCAGAATTAGACGTTTCCCTTCAATAAACTACTTCTCTCAAGCTGCCTATGCTACACACTCACCCCACAAATGACTAACCAGGCTTTTACAGGGGTGAAGGTGAAGCTAGAGGTGAAAGTCATGCACACATGAGCTAGCAAGACAGTCACAGGATTGCAACAGCTCTCAGGATAAATTTTCCAGATGGGAGCCGGAACAGCACACTCTGCTTTGGATTAGGCCAGAAGATCAGCCGAACTGCAGACACTGCGCTCCCTCCTCTGACCCATCCTAACGAAGGCCCATCCGCCCATCTATTCGTAGCCTGTTGTGCAGATGGGCGAGAGTCCCTGTCACGCACTACCTGTCTGCTCAGGCAGCTTAGAATAGAGAAGAAGTGGGGAAACGGTTGAATTTCCCACTAACGTACTTAAACCATATGGCTTCAGCTTTCATGTGACCCCAAAGGAGTTGGACATCAAATCCCAAATAATTTTGGCATCCTTAAGTTTTGTTCAGAAACTTGATTTTCACTTCTATACATTTACATATAAAGTATTTTCCTGCAAGACACTACCAGCACTCACTTGATTCCAAAATCGTTAGTGCAGCAGAATAAATGTTGCACTGCTAGAAATTGTAGAACTTTTTAAAATGGTGATAATTTAAGAATCTTTGATCAGATTAAAAAAATACTTGAAAAAGAATTCTGTCACTTTGGAGCAGGTACTTTTAGCTCTACTCTCCTGGCTTACATCATTACAGATGCCCAATTCAGCTATGTCCTTGCAAATTTTGAGTGCTTTTAAAACATGCGAGTATGTTAGACTACATGTATAGCTACGCAAGATAGAAATCTAGACATCATCTAGGAAGAATAAAAGCTATTTCATGGCCCTTGTTTCTTTCAGGCTTCATTTAGCTCCTGTGACCCCACAGATGTTAAGTTGGACATTTCTAAAGCAAGAAAAAACCCAGAACAATTTCCAAGCACCTCAGCCAGATTCCACCACATATTGAAAGTAAAGAGCCAGTTGTAAGACAGTTGTTTCTCCAAGGTCACGACTGCTCCACAATAGGCTTTTAATACATACCTTGCAATTAAACTAAGTGCTTTCTTCCTGTCAAACAGACACCTGTGTTTCATGTACCTCTCTAGGAAATCTTGAGGCCAGCATTTTTTAAAGCTGCTAAAATGCATTTCTGCTATTCTTTCGGAGTTTCTCCAAGATTATGACAATCTCAAAAGCATAACCATAAAGACAGATGGGCATTTGGTAGATAAGTCCTATTTAAATTATCTTGCTAAAAATCTCACGCTGCCTTTCCAAAGACATGCTGTACTTAGCACAGCCCACTGCTACAACTTGAAAAATGCAAAGAAATCTATATGCTTATGCCAAATCTTAAGTTTCCTGCCCTAAGAATGAATGTTGCTGTGATACGTGAACACCACTCAAATGTTTTAATGCAGTTTTCCTAAGAGCACTCTTTCAGGGAAGGGAAACACTAATACTATCTATAGTTCTATAGAGCAACTAAGGCATGAAGATACTTAAGTCTCAAGAAATGGCATCCAGTTATACTGCTTAACTTTTAGGTCTCTGAAGACCCAGACTCCCTCTGCAACGGAAGGAGAGAACTAGGTATCTGAAAGTGGGACTTGCACCAGGCCAAACACAGAGCTGGGAGAGCTCAGTCATCAGCGGTGCCCACGCAGGCTGCAACGACTGGCTCACCCCCATCCTGCCTTCATAGACCTTCACCTCTACCCTGAGTTCGACACCTAAGAGGTTTCTGCTTAAAAGGATTAAAAGGAGGAGGGGCCATTCCTTTTCATTTATTTATTTATAGGTGCTACTGCTGTACCACCATTCCCTCTCTTCTCTGCTGCTTTCCTTTTCTCCCCCACTCCTCCTTCATGTAAGAGTATGTTACACTAGTAGGTTGGGTACCTGCTTGTCCTGGTTTCAGCTGGGATAGAGTTAATTTTCTTCCTAGTAGTTGGTATAGTGCTGTGTTTTGGATTTAGTGTGAAAGAATGTTGGTAACACACTGATGTTTTAGTTGTTGCTAAAGTAATGTTTACATAGTCAAGGACTTTTCAGCCTCCCATGCTCTGCCAGGTGCACAAGAAGTTGGGAGGGGACACAGCTGGGACAGCTGACCCCAACTGACCAAAGGGATATTCCATACCATATGATCTCATGCTCAGCATATGAAGCTGGGGGAAGAAGAAGGAAGCGGGGGGGACACATTCGGAGTGATGGCGTTTGTCTTCCCAAGTCACCGTGATGGAGCCCTGCTTTCCTGGAGATGGCCGAACACCTGCCTGCCGATGGGAAGGAGTGAATGAATTCCTTGTTTTGCTTTGCTTGCATGCGCAGCCTTTACTTTTCCTATTAAACTGTCTTTATCTCAACCCACAAGTCTTCTCACTTCTCCGAGCCCTGTCCCACAGATATTTAACAACTATATCCAACAATCCCTATGCAAAATAAGTGGGCATTAAAGATGCAAGGAGTATCCTAATCACTAGGCTAGGAAAAAGAAAACATGAATTAGTTTTGGACAACTTGTGCAGCATCAGCAAGGCATAAGGCTTGGTACCCACGCCTGAGATCCTCATTAGGATCAGAGCACTGTTCTGGGAGGTGGAAGATGATTGGCCAAATGCCTTCAGACAATTGAGTGAATAATAACCCAGACCTCCCACACCCGCAGTGTGTGTTCAAGTCAAAAGCATATCACAAAAGAAAAGGAAAGGAATCTCTTGCTAAGGCCATGCTTTGCAAGGGAACTGCTTTATTATGAGCTCTTCTTGCATTAGCTCTGCATAGAGTGTCTGCTTAATTTGCCCTTAGGGAATATCCCTAGTTTAAGAACCATACAATTAGTTTGCCTTGGCCTTATGCCCATTTCCCCAGTTTTGTATCAATAGATGTCAATAAGCGCATTTGTGATAGATTTAGAAAAACACATTAACCAATTACACTACCCATGTACTTCCTTATTTTCCTGTTCATTCGCAGCATAATCCCATCTGGACACTGAATAGTCAAATTCATGTACATGTGAAAAATCTAGAAAATATCTAGAGGTCTTCGCAGGACTTCAAGGAATTTTACAGGAAATGCAATTCTAGCAGTAGGATAGAATACTTCTGGGAAGCTTTCTTAGTTTTATTCCTAATAAAATTCTGTAGCGTTTTTCAACTGAAAAATTCATGAACATATACCCCCTCCCCAGCCAGTCAGGGGAGGAGGAGGGAGGGGAATCCAAGCTCTTTTTGTAGGAATAATTACTGCAGGAGACATTCTGCCTGTTCTTAGCTACACAATTTCTCTACTCCCTCCTGCACCATTCTCTGCACACAGCTTCACAGCACTTTGCAGTTGCTATTTTTCCCCCTCTTCTCCGTTCCCCATGATCCAGGTGAGTTCACAGAAGTCACAGGATAACACACTGTACAAAACAGCACTAAATAATATAGATCATCTGATGACCCAAAAGTCTTCCCTCTGAATTCTTTGAATCCATAGGATCATCACTTATTTACCAATCCTGGTACGAAGAATCTGTTCCGGCCTTTCTTCCCTCACCTGACATCTTTTTCCTATTTATACATCAGAGACACATGTACACATCCCCTGTACACAAACATCCACTTTTAAAGGCCCTCTCCTGAAGATGTAGCTTTTAACCACATTGCGTTGTTACCAACATGCCACACACTTATCTCAAAGACTTGCCATACATCACTTTCAAGAACTGTCATCTTTTAACGCCTCTTACCTGACAGCAAGTCACGAGAACAACTGATAATGGTGGTTCCAGGCTTTATCCAGCTCACAGGAACATCATCGGGTTTTGTACTGCCAACTACCACCACATCTGCGTGCTGAAGCTAGGGACAGCCCAAAACACCCCCCAGAAACAAAACAAGCATTTAATGTTAGAAATACATTCTTGAATATGCATCTTATAATATTCATACTTACACAGCAGTAGTCTTTTGAGCAAAGTATTTGCAGACAACAAAAAAAAAAGTCCAAATTAGTGCCTTGATTCTTACCCCACAAGATATTTAAGAACAATAGCATTTAGAATGAAGTCAGGTAAACAAACTGTGAAATCAGGGAAGTGGGGTCAGAGTCAGCACCAATTATATTTAATGGGGATTACATACTTTCAAAGAAAAAGCCCTATCATTCTCCAAAGTCCTGTCCAACAAGGTAACTTGGAGAGACTTAAGAAAGAGAAGGGTTCAAAGACAGTAAATAGGCAATTATAAAGAGTACAGTCAGATTATCTGACAGTAGAAAACCAGGCCAGCTGACAGGAATGCAAGATGACCTGATCTACAAACATCACTGCCTCTGAAGAATATAAATTAAAGCATTTTTTCCCCTTCTCAGTTCATGTTTGTTAATCAGTGCCTCTGATTTAGTTGAACCTGACAGATGTTGGAGCAAAAATGGTTACTACAAAAATTCTTCTAATCAAAGACGTAAGTGTCTTCCTTTCCTCCCTCCTCTGAAACAGGGCCCTGTACCAATTATCGGAATCACCGCGAGATAAGGGACAGCACCAGAGGCAGATGTATAAAGATCCACTAAAAAAGCAGAATACAGGCACAGCACTGCCTCAAGCCTGAATGTAGAAACTATTTCAGAGATACCGTGACTTTGGGAATATTTTGAAAAATGTAAATTAATACCAAGTGTCACAAACTCGGCGAGCCTCTCTACGAATTGATTTGTGACTGATAAGCGTTCCAGCTTCTTTTTTGGCCAAAAGTGCTCTGACGCAACCCTGCCCAACCCTCCTGCCAAGAAAGAACAGCTCAAATCCTGTCAGAATAGCAGGTTTTTGGCACAGCTGAGCATCCAGGAGGGGAGAAGAGCATAACTGTGGCGGAAAAGGCAGAAAGCTAAAAAAGCTCCATCTTCCCCTCAGAGGACACAAGGATGGCCTAACCCTCCTTAGAGATCCACATGCGGAAAGAAAGCCAAACGTGTGGGAGAAGATTTACTCGCTTGACAAATGACTAATGCAATGAGCTGATTCAGGCTTCAGCCAGAGTCCTGCAACACTCCTATAATTGCCTGCAAACGTACAGTCTCAACAGTCATTCAGCCTTATCCAAATGGCTGACGCTCCTGCGCCTAGTGCGAATATCAACTTACGTGCCACTCCTAGAAGGCCACATAAGTCGTAATGCTTGACCAGCATCAGGTCAAATCATACTGAGGAATCTGCAAGCAAATTTGGATAAAGAGATGACGCAATGACTTGTGTACCAAGAATACTATGCTGAAGACTCACTTTCCCCTGCAAAAAAAAGACGCAGCCTCTGCCGTAACAGTCAACATCATCAACACAGAGAAAACCAGTGATTATTCTCAGTTAGATGAATCCAGTCTTTTTTGTAGCAAAATAACGATTCACATTCTAGCAGTTATAATTCACGTACTGAAAGTCAGGTATGTCATCCCATGCAAAGCCTCTGGGACAAGGACTAAGAGCTTTGCACAGCACTTCGCATCATGAAACTATGAACCAGTTGAGAGCTGTATGCAACAAGTAATAATTCTGACAAACGTTCAGCCAACATACTTATGACAGAATTGATCCAATGTAACTATAATGCCAGAAGACAACTGACCTGACCAAATATTCATCTCTATGACTACCGATCATAATGTTCAAAAATGTTCTTAACAGCTGAACACAATCATTTTTGTAGCCAATGTTAACACTAGTTCAGATGGCTAATGTTGCACATACCCATAAATATCTCGGAAAACCAGCTGAACCTTTCATCTCATTGCCCTGCCCCACCTCCTCCATGAAAAAAGTTGTATCACATGGCAGCGAACAGTTGTCCTACGGGTTGAAGACACAATGATCTCAGAGCCTGCCCCACCATGATTTCTTTTTCCTTATTTCACAAAAAAAGTAAATGTAAAGAAAAAAAAAAAAGGCACAGATACAATTGTAATTCTCTTGCTATAGGCAAGTATTTTATGTGCAACTACTGAAAAAGTTCCTGGAGAGTCAATAAAATATGTATCACAAACACTTTATAGAATTTTTTTCCCCTGTGAGTATTTTAAAAAAATTATATCCAGAAACTTGTTTGCCTGGGAGAGTGAGTCCACTGAAAGCAAAATAGTTGTTTACAGAATTTTGTGTGTCCTTGGAAGAGATTTATGTGATCTCCATCAGGGCATTTTGGTTTCACTCGCAAGAAGTCGTGCCCATGCCTCCCCTGCTTTTTTTCCTCTCTTGCCTTAACCTACTCTTTTGACCGCCTGTAAATCACTAAAGCAAGCAGCAAGCCTTGGGAGGCGTGTGCAGGCTTATCACCTACATCAGAAACAAATCACAGACATTAGAGATGGAAAAGACCTATGAAATCACCACATCCAACCTCCCTAGCAAAGGCACCGCGCAGTCCCTGGACAGAGGATGCATCTGACAGGAACCAGATGCTGCAGGCAGCCATAGCCAGAAGGTCGAGGAGGTGCCCACGAGGGGGAACGTGCGGCCGCAGGGCGACCGACTGCCCGGTGCTCCCCGGACACTGAGGCTGTGTCCCACCGGGCAGGCTTGAGGAAGGAACGACGAGCATCAGTGCCAAACCACCCCTAATGGACCAGGCAATAGGCTGAAGACAAAGTACTTGAGTAGTACCCTGCCCTCCCACCGGTAAATATTTTTTCAGTTGGGAAGAGCTGTGCCAATAAATAATCTGAAACCTTACCTCATAACAAAATATGACTCTCTCCACCAAGATTTAAGTAAAAGCAGATTAAGAAGCACCACCCATTCCCAAGACAGACACCAAATGTTAAAACAGCAACACAGACTTTCCTGCCAAGTATTTAATGATAATGGTACAAAGTAGCTGTATATTCCAGATAACTGAAAACCCATTTTGCCATGAAGCCTGCATAAAAACTTCACTTCCCCATAGTTAAAACCGACTGCTATGAAAGCCATTTTTAAATACATGACCAAAAAAAAAAAAAAAATTTGAAATTAATATTCAAAATGTAAAAGCCCTCAGTTTCCTCGGTCTGAAGTTAGGCCAGCTAAAATTTAAGAGATAGGATGAGGAATAGGAACCTGAGTCAAAGTTTTTTCACAACTCTCCTTATGAAAAAAATCAGTTTACAGATCAGGTTCCACTTCAATCACAGCAATCCTAATTACTTTCTGAAATCTTAAAAATTTTTTATGTCAATGGCTAGTTTCAGGTACTTCTTCCACACAGGCATGTTCTCCTTACGTGGTTTCTTCCAGCTCCATCTCTACCTTGGGAAGTTCAAGGTTTGCAAATCATTGGCAACCCAGCAGGACAGCTATGCATGGTCTGCTCTGATCCCTCCCCCCTGGCTGTGGTCCCCAGGGACGAGCCGCAGCGGGCAGCCACCAGCTCCCTGCTACCGTCTTCTTGCCCAGACATCGACAGCCCCTTCCCTACCACATCGGCCTGAATGCACTTGCCCTACGCAGCGCATGTCAAAATTAGGTCCACATCTCTATTACGGGCTCAAGCCTACCGCTATGATGCATGCTTTAGGAACTGTTCCTCTAGCTCACGGGCTGGGAGGTAAATTTCAAATTGCGAGGAACAGATATGATGCACATAAAATGTTGAAGCAGAAATACTTTGTCTACAGCATCATCATTAGAAACTGTCACGCAGCTTCCCTCTCCTCTCCTTCTGTGGGATCCAAATACCCGGTCTCACGTTCTTTCATGCTTGCTTACATGCTTATGATACAAAATGTATTTTTCTGCCAGTACCAAGACTCTTGGTCTTATCAAGACAGCAAAAACAGGACAGCAAATGACTAAGAGATGTCTAATAGTCTGAAGTTGAAGTGTTGGCTCTAACGAAAAGCAGACTGTGGCCAAAAGAGGTTCTTATCCAACCTGAAAAGGAACCTCCCGTTCTTGCACTCCAGCTGACCCACTCTCCTACTGCTCAACCAGGCTTTTACAAACAAGTGTTCCGTTCCTAATTATACCTAGATAGACTGATTTTCAGTTCTTTTACAAGAAAATTGTAGGATAGCAGCTCTCTTAAAACAGGCATAAGGTGGTTCACATACAGACTACATGTAAGACGATGTGCTGAAATCATGACTGACTGAATTTAGACGACTGAAACGAAATTCAATTTCCTCATAGGTACTAAGTATTATCCATGCTTTGGCAAGAAAATAATCTGTATTTTTCAATTTGAATTTATTTGATAACCTCCTTTCAAACTAGAAAGTCTAATTCTAACATAATAAAAGATTAAGCACGTCAGTTCCTTCACCTGTACTGCTGAATTGACTTTTGGGTAGTCCCATTTTTAAATGACAACAAGTGTGATGTTCCTGAAAGTATGTCACTAGGTCACTCTTCAGGCACACTGCAGCGATTGTGCTTTGAAGAGTTATCTACACAAAGCTTAGCAGAATGATAACATCTTACTTATTTCTACCAAAATGCTCAAGTCTTTATCTCTTACTTCATAATTTATTTTACATCCAACACATCAATGCAAAAAGAACTATCCATAGCTGTGCCAGAACCTTCTGAAATATTTGCTTTATTTCATTTGTGATTTTATTTGAAAACCCAGGAAGCTCAAGAGTGTTGAAGGACATAGCTCAGCTGTGCCACGATGATTCTTTTTAATAACTAAAGTCAAGCAAACCCAAAATGGAACAAAAAGAAACATTAATAATCAGTTCACCTCGGCAAAACATGAAGTAGGGAGGGAAAAGAACATGCAAAGTGTGTCTATTATTCATGCAGGTCAAAGCAAAGAAATTAAAATGTACCATTATTTATTTTATTCCCTTTTCCTGCCATAGGACAGAAAAGACTTGCTTTAAAGGAATACACTAAGTCAG